GGCAAAGTTGGGCCTCATCTTAATTTGGGCTTGGAATATATATATATATTGGCAATTCGTCCAAATCAGAAAATATAGAATTTGAAATAACATTATCATTCTCACACATAACCACTTCCTGAGAAAAAGCATATCACTATTAGCCAGAAATCAAAGCCACAGTGATTATGCTTTGATGTGTGATAGTTTAATTCATTCTATTGTTGTATTAATTTGTTTATTTATATAGAATATATTTCGTATTGTTTTTATTATATTATTTGGTAATATTCTTATTGTTCTTCAACACCCAGATCCACGTGGATGTTGGTTTTGTTTTGTTTTATTTTTTATTTTTTGTTTTTCTGTTTCTGGTTGTAGGCAGAGGTGGAGGTGACCACATTGGTGCGTCGGTTGCTATACTAGTTTGTAGCTGATGTTGAAGCAGCCACCGCGAAACACCATTGTCACTATGATTTAGTCGTCGTTTTTGGTCCGCATACATAGGGCTTTGGCTCTAGTTCAAAGTATGGGGTTACAATCATGGAAGTTGCCGATTTGTGTGGGTTGGGGTTTAGCTAGTGTGACACTAAGGGTTTAGTTGGTATGACGTTATGGATGTCCTCGGTTGCCAAAGAGGATGTGGAGCGGTGGTCTTGTTTCTTTTTTTCTTTTAGTCTATTATTACTTTTTAGGAGCTTGCTTTATTTTAATTTAATTCTCATGAACTCTTTACGAGTTTGCTGTGTTTTGTATTTTAATTTAATTTTCGACAGCGATATAAATCTATGTTTAGTTAGTGGTACAAATTTTGGCACTATTATATAGTATATGATATATAATATAATGAAAAACTACCCCGAGGTCCAATTAATGTAAATGTGATTATGCAAACCTAATTTTCCAATAATTGCCCTTATAATTATATGCAAATAGAAGATTAACTAATAAGCATCAAACTCTGAACTTTAATTGATGTGATGGAAAAACTTCCTATGGTTTACCTTTGGCATGACTATTGGGCAACTTTGAGTAAATTAGCCTCTCCCAATTCAGTCCTCCTTCTCGTTTTTTTATTTTGCTATTACTTTATGAGTTGGGACTCTAAAAAATAATTGGATATTATTACTGGTCTGGTTGCCATTGCCATATATGATTGATGACTCCATTAAATAATTAAACCCTCTCATATGTCCGGAACTGGAACATTGAAGTCGGTGGATGGGGAAATTTATGTGGCGTGACACGTGTGATGTGGAATACATTTTTCGCGTTTTGAATTGCTGGTTGGTTGTTGTTCAAATTCATTCTACATAGCATGATTATATCTATTTTCCAATTTCCAACTTGCACGTTTCCTATAAAATATGAAATAAAAAACCTAATAATTTTGTTTATTTTGTTTTGTTGCATTTGTTTTGCCCTTACTAGTTACGTACCAACTACTATATGTAGATGTGTCTGGTGCGCGATGTGGAATAATTGATCGTCAGAATAAATGAATAGATAGAAGATGCTATATATACATAGATAAATGCACACATGTACAGAACAGAACCAAGGAGGGCCCAGAAGTCGCCTCACTTTCTTCATCCTTTTCCTTTATTGGTTTAGTTTAGACTTTAGTTTGAACTAGCTAGAAAATATTATACGTACCCTCAAGTTCAAGTGTTCAACCCAAAAAGAGAGAGATTGCAATTGGAATTGAAAGAGGCGTATTCAGTGATGACGACAATATTATTAATGATGATGTTGTTTGTTTCTTCTAGTATGGTAATGGTATTACTATTAATGACGACAGAAGCGGCAGGTGGAAGAGGAGGAGGAGGAGGTGGTGGTGGTGGTTTAGGGGTTAAGCTGCTAGCAGCTGCCAATGTAACAATTCCAGCTGTGTTTATGTTTGGAGATTCGATCGTTGATACAGGCAACAATAACAACAATCTCAAAACACCAGCTCGCTGCAATTTCCCTCCATATGGCAGGGATTTCCAGGGAGGCATAGCCACTGGCAGATATTCCAATGGAAAGGTTCCCTCTGACTTCATAGGTTGTGCATCTTTCGCTGCTGCATCAATAATCTCTCTCTCTCTCTCTCTCTCTTTCTCTTTCTTTTTCACTCTCATTCTCGTGGTCAATTGGTCATCCACTCATTTGACCATCAGTTTAATTAGTTACCAGAAAGATCTAGAACAGTCTTTCCTTTGTTGCAATTTGCCAGAAATATCTTGCAATGGATATTTTGTTGGTTGTGAATTGGCAAATCTTATTAATTACTCCCACGTGCCCTAGTCTCCGAGTTGTCAAATCTGTTCTTTTGTCTACGCCGCCAGTTGTCCAAATCTTACTTATAGTTTTTTTCGGTTTAGACTGGGCTGTCCACGTTGTTAAAGCCCATGGTTTGATTGGTATTGTCTAAGCCCTTCTCGTCAACTTTCTCAGTCCAAAAGGGAAAATAAAAAAGAAAAACATTCTATATGCAACAAATTAAATAATATGGTCCTTTAGTTTTGTGAGTATTGTGGCACTAGAGTTGTTCTTCAATTTTCATCATATTCATAATGCAAGTTTGATTAATTATACTTCCATTTTGTCTTTGTTCTCTTTTCTTTTCTTTTTTTCAGCGGAGGAATTGGGTATTAAGGAGCTCTTGCCAGCCTATTTGGATCCAAACCTAGCGCCGAATGATCTGCTTACGGGTGTTAGCTTCGCTGTGGGTGCCACGGGATATGACCCTATGACAGCAAAAGTTGTGGTAAATAAATGACTTGCATTAGTTGATTATGCTTGCTAATCAAGTTCATTTTCACTAAACTTGTTCTTAGTGACTAGTTTTTTTCTTTGTCACTTGTTTTTTTCTTTGGTTAAACTTAAACAGGCAGTTACACCACTATCCGATCAATTGCTGCAATTTGAAGAATACATAGGAAAGGTGAAAGGAATTGTGGGAGAAGATAGAGCAAACTTCATCTTGGCTAACAGTCTCTCTTTCGTGGTAGCAAGCAGCAACGATCTTGCCAATACCTACTTTGTTACCGGCATTAGGAAATTGGAGTATGATGTGCCTTCTTACACCGACCTCATGCTCAATCACGCTTCTGATTTCCTTAAGGTAACTTTAGAACATATTAAATCCGATCGATGTCAAAACTATATAATACTAATCTCTGTCAAAGCTTGTAGTTTTGATTTGTTTGATTTCTTGTGTTGTGAAAAGGGGTTGTATGCATTGGGGGCACGGAGAATTGGTGTTTTCAGCGCACCCCCTATTGGATGTTTGCCATCCCAGAGGACTTTGGGAGGAGGCATACTAAGAGATTGTGTAGAGAAACCCAACCAAGCAGCCATGTTGTTCAACTCCAAACTCTCAGCAGAGCTGGATGTCCTCAACAAAAACCTACCCAACTCAAACCTGGTCTATGTTGACATCTACAACCCTCTACTCGATCTCATCATCAACCCTACTAATTACGGTAACTTACCCTAAACTTATAACTTAATCCATTAATTCAAGGCTTAATTAAATTATAGATTCAAGTCTAGTGTTAATTATTACTTATTAATTTGGTATGTTTTTAATTACTTATTTTGTGCATGCGCATGCAGGCTTTGAAATTGCGGATAAAGGGTGTTGCGGGAGTGGGAAGCTGGAGGTGTCCATACTTTGCAATGAATTCGAGCCTGAGACGTGTACTGATGACTCTAATTATGTGTTTTGGGACAGTTACCATCCCACTGAAGCCGCATACAAAATCATTGTCAAGGAACTCATGACTAAGTACATCTACCGCTTGGCATGACTCATGAGAGACAAAACAACTCATTAATTAATATATCATTTTATTTTATTATTCAGATTCAGGACTTGCAGAGAGCTCATGATCCTCCAAATCCAATGGAATAAATCTCTGCAAATGCCTTTTTGATTACTCTCACTCTCAGGGAAATTGTACCAAATTATGGACATGATTATACAATTATTATTGAAAGCATATTATAACATATTACAGATTTCCTTCCTTGTTTTGAATTTTGATTGAGTTTCAAATTCAAGCACGTGATTATTGTACAATTAATAATGCAGTTGGGCAGGTCTAAGTCACTTCAGTACTAGTCTATTAGTCTAGTTGTGTGATTTAGTAGGTAACGGATAAATATTAATGAATTTGGGCAATTGATTATAAACGGAAGATAAGCGGAAATTGCAAATTGGCTTGAAAAAGGAAAATATATGGCAATTGGCAATTTGGCATGGCTAGAAAAGGAAACATGCAAGCACTGTGCACGTTGCTTCAGTATATGCATAAATTATGCAGAGAGGCACACCATACATGGATGCCCATGCCCTGCCCAGCATATGCATAAATTATAATTGTAGGTAGCCCAAGCAGCTCAATCAGTGAGCCGTGCATTGATTCTATATCTGAACTTCCAACTGTAATTATATATATACACACATCAAGATCAAGTGTGGATCCATGTGCCATTGCCAACAATTGCATATCAAGCAATTAAGAGCAGGTTTGAGCGGTTTAAGCATCTGTGGGATATAGGAGGACCACCGACGAGCACCCTCTTAATTAGGCGGCCACCAAGCAACTCTTAAAAGGGTATATTATATATTAGTATTACTTTACATACATACATGAGATGAGACAAGGGTAAGACAAAGATATCAAAGGGGGATAAAAACAGAGTATTTTCACCTTCTGTAAGATCTGCTTCTTGTCAAAATTCAAAAACTGCTTGTCTGTCTTTGCTCTGGTTATATATGATTTCATACATAATATATATATATATATATATATATATATATATAATATACCTCATCAACAGAATACAGAAACATATTGGTTATGCTTTCATTGTTTTTTTTTTCTTTTCTTCTTTACCTGGAAATTAAAAGGTATGATTCTTGACCTAATGAACATGGAGAGCATTTATTGGCTGTTGCAAATAAGTAGAACACAGCTAAAAATATATGTATATGTACACGTATATGTGTCCTCCATGTTTGTGTAATTAATAAATGCATAGCATTAAGGGACGGCTTACGAATCAATTGAAGAAGATTAGATCACTATTATAAATGCACCAGAAAACTATACCGGACACGCAAGTTAATTCTGAAGCCCACTTTTCTACAATCCTTTCAATATATCCTTCATTTATTATTCCTACATGTATGATTAAGTGGACTGGAGAGATCCAAACCCAGAAATGCATGCAGATACAGGAGGACTAGCTATGTGCAGTCCTCAGTGGGTCAGGCAGAGACAGTGCTCATCAAACACGATATGCTTATTTATTTCTTATGTTAATATATTTTTCGTGCTTTTCTTGTGCAATATTATTAATATTACAGAGGCAGCAGCTGCGAGAATCAAGCTGCCAAGGAATGCAAGTGTTTCAGCAGTGATTATATTTGGAGATTCGATTGTTGATACGGGCAACAACAACAACAATTTCAAAACACTTGCACGCAGCAATTTCCCTCCCTATGGGAAAGACCTCAAGGGAGGGATGCCAACAGGAAGATATTCCAATGGAAAGGTTCCCTCGGACCTCATAGGTTGTCATCCTCATCCTCATCATTAATTCATCAAACATTCAACTTTTACTAATTGTATTTTGATTATCAGTAGGAATCCACTTGAACAAAACAATAAATTTTATTTTGATTATCATTAGAAATCAACTTGATCTCATGCATACACACTAAATTTTGTCCAAGAAATCCAGAATGAAATTCTTATATCTCATGCATACACACTAAAATGTTCAATCAAAGCCGAGCCAAAAGAAAAAAGAAAAAATACTTCTAATATTAAAGACAGGCTAATTAAAAATTCATGTGACAGTATCAAAGGAAAAAGTACTTAAATACATTGAAATGATCATTGAGTTGGCTAGTATGTGGCCCTTACCTGAATGAAAGATAAATGCTGTGTGTGTTTTTTTTCTCCCAGCGGAAGCATTAGGAATCAAAGAGCTGTTGCCCGCATATTTGGATCCAACCCTGCAGCCTAAGGATCTCCTTACTGGCGTAGTAATAGCTGCTGGTGGTGCAGGTTATGACCCTTTGACAGCACAAGTCGCAGTACGTACACCTATTTAAACCCTTTCTTTTTCTTCTTCTTCTCAATTTTGTTGTTTTTATTTTCGACTTGCATTAATAATTCCGGAAGTTCCTTCCTTGTGTTGTCTCTGTTTGTTATTTTTGGTGAAATATGTAGGGAGTTGCATCACTATCCGACCAATTGAAACAGTTCAAGGAGTACATAAAAAAGCTAAAAGCAATTGCTGGGGAAGAGAGAACAAACCTTATCATATCAAATAGTTTGATTTTTGTGGTAGCTGGCAGCAACGATATTTCAAATACCTATTTTCTAACCGGTATTAGAAAATTGAAGTATGATGTTCCTTCTTACACTGACTTAATGCTCAACTACGCCTCTGAATTCGTCAAGGTAAGCTCTTGAACTCAATAACTTTGCAGATATGTATAGTTAAAAGTTTGATTTAGCAAAGGAGTTAATTATTTGGTAGGACTTGTATGGATTGGGGGCACGAAGAATCGGTGTACTCAACACACCACCTATTGGATGCGTGCCATCTCAACGAACGGTTGCAGGAGGCGTGCTAAGAGAATGCGACGAGAAACAAAACCAAGCATCGCAGCTCTTCAATTCCAAACTCTCTGCAGAGGCTGATGAACTTAACAAAAACCTGCTCAATTCCAGGGTGGTCTATATTGACATCTATAATCCACTGCTTGATCTCATCAACAACCCCACTAAATACGGTACAGATATTAATCTGCGTAGCTTAAGCTCTATTATATTTATTTACAGGTGCTTGTCAATGTCATAAGTTAATTAACTGAAAGCAATATTTGAATACGTACGGCGTGCAGGCTTTGAAGTTGCGAATAAAGGGTGTTGTGGTAGTGGGATTATTGAGGTAACAAAACTGTGCAACCAGATTCAGCCTGCAGGCACCTGTTCAGATGACTCTAAGTACGTTTTCTGGGACAGTTACCATCCAACAGAGAGAGCCTACAAGATCATTGTGCAGCAGATTCTAGACAAATATACCGACTTCTTCTTCTGAGACAACTCATTTCCTCATCCTTATCATCAATTTCCTTGCATAATTGTCATTTGTATTCTGCGCAATATGAATTATTCAGGTTCAATCAATTAATAAAATTATTGGTCCAGTCCACAGTCGAAACAATGGGACCCAAAGTCAATGTTATTGGGCCCAGAGTCAATATTTTGGTCCGCTATGGAAAAGGTTGACAAAGATTTTACAGTGAAGGCGGAGAAGAATTCTATAGTGAGGGTCTTATCTAAGGCCTTAGATGAGATTCTATCTCATAACCGTTGAATCAAATTATTTAGCTGTTAATTTAATCCAACGATTAAAAAATAGGACCTCATCTAAAGGCCTTAAATAAGCTCCTCGCTATAAAATGACTGGAGAGGATAAAATGACTCACGGTTCAAATAGTGGCTAATAAGGCCCGTTAAGGAAACAAGCACAAAACTACAAGTAAGCACCTCCATAAAAAAAGGACACGTTACGACTTACGACCCAAAAGAGAAATACCCGAGAGACAAAGACATTGACTTTAGCCTAAAAGACCCATTTTCTTACCAGTGCACATGCACATTGACATTGATGTCCACTTGACCACCACCAATGCATCATTTCTGGACATGTTTTGAAATAATAACAAGGGTAATAATAAATGGGTGCTATTATTTCTATTCCCTTATCATATTTTCTCATTCACCTTTTCCTTATTTGAAAAAATACAATCCTATCTTTCCACCCACCATTATTCTTAAAATACCCTTTAATCCAAACACAAACAAACTAACACAACCTACCAATTAACTTTTGCCAATGGCACACAAAGTCGAGTCGCATAAGCTTTAAAACAATTTCGCAGAATTTCAAAACAAAGCTCAAATACAACTTTCCAACTCTTTGAATCTCAAATACAACTTCACCAAACGAAATATATGTATTTCTGCTAAATACCAACAAAGTCAAACATTCCAAAGCTTCAAGGGATACCCAAAAACTCCAAAACCAAGCTCAAAACAACCCTAGTTTTGTTCCAATTAGCTTCATAAACCAGCAAAAGTTCCAAGCTCAGATTCCTATAATACTAAAACCACAAATGTTAAATCTCCCTGTAGCTTTAACCCCAAAACAAAAAAACAATTCAAGCAAACAGACCAAAAATCTTACTAAAATTGAACCACGAGCATCCCATGAAAAAAAAAAAAAAAACCCTAGTTTCAAAAACTCCAAAACCCACCTACAAATTTTAGTTTTCTTTTGGGTAAATAAGAAAACCCACCTACAAAATTTTTCGAATGGTTCACAAGACATAGAGTAAATGCAAAGAAACATAGAAACGTAAAATGAGAGGAATTACGCTTTGACTTAAGGAAGTGATATGGCAAAGAAGAGTCAACCTGGATTTTTTTTTCCTCTTTAGCTTCTATCCGTAGGGTAACAAGACAAACAAGGAGAAATGTGTAAATTTGTCCTTATAAGTTATTTTACAAATGGGTAAATTTATCTATAAAAGTTTGAAGATAAGGTGAGTGGGAAAATAGGACATGTGGGTGGAAATAGCAATACTCTAATAAACACCGGAAAGCAATTAAAAAATTATTTGACTGTAATAGGAACAATTAATATAAAACTTAGTCATAATATGTGTTTATGTACTGTATGATTTAGGTCCATAAGAGCATCTACAATGTGCTCCCTAAATCACCTCCTTAGACAAATTTTAGGGAGGCATTGTAAAAATGCAACTCCAACCATGCTCCCTATCCACCTCCTAAAATAGGGAGTCCTCTAGGGGCTCCTAAATCTGAGGAGAGAGAAAAGACTCCTAGTGGCTCCCTATAATTTAATGCTGCCTTATTTTATGAGTATTTCAAACCTTTATTTAATGCTAACTATTTTTTATTTTATTTTTTAATAGAGATGGACCAATCAAAAAAAAGTTATAGCATTTATGACTCTCCAAATTAGGGAGTATGGTTGGAGTTGAAATTTTTTAGAGAGCTCCTAAAATAGCTTTCTTATATTTTTAGCTAAATTTTAGCTAAGAAATAGAGAGCATCATTGCGGATGCTCTAAGGTTTGGTAGCGCTAGAAACTAAACACAGCCGGTTTGCATAAATTCATGGCATTAACTAAATTAGGTCCATAAGATTTAGGTAGCGCTAAGAATTAAACTAAGGCATTAATTTATGGCATTAACTGACTGCCTAAGGGATAAACTGAAGAAGATCATTGCATAAATGCAAGGAAAACTATGCAAGAACGACAAGTTAATTCTTATTAGGTTTGACTTCCTTTGTGTAATTAGGTTTGGGTTAGGGTGTGTGATTTGTATTCCTTATACGTAATTAGGTTGGACTTTATTATTTCCCAATGCTGCATTGCATATACAGTTACCTTACATTGTAGGCATGTGATATATATATCAGTGTTTTCAAAGGCATGCCTTCGCGCGCGTCGGAGCGAGGCCGGAGGAAAACGCCCGAGGCGGTCGGCTATTTCGCGAGTTGCACGTTTAGCGCTGGGAAGGAGTGAGAAGGCGCTGCAAGGCATGGCTAGGCATTGCAAGGCGCACCATATCTGGAAACTTCTGAATCGGAAGAAATTTTTGACTCTACAAATCGTCTGCAAGGAAGACGACCTGCTTTTTTTTAAAGGTTTATTGTAATGAAACGACCTGTATAATTTGACTGTAAAAAACTGTAATTTGAAGTTCCGTATAATTTTTTTCATATTGATACAATTGATCAATATGATAGTGATGCTAGTTGAATGATATTAGTGTTGAGGAGTGGGATGAGTGAATTATGTTTTTGTTTTGATGTTGAATAAATATTTAATGTTTTGGGATTGATTATTATGCTTTGAATGACAATTAGTACTTATATTTGATTATATTTAAAAGATTGTTATGGTTGAATAAGAATTAGTTGTACAATTTAATCGTATTGTATTATTCATAAATTTTTCTTATTAAAATAATAGATTATTATAAATAAACCCAATTCTAGACATGTATTTATAAAAAAATCCACACACTATTTAAATATAGAAACACACCCAAAATCAACCCCAAAATCAACAATTGAATATTTTTTGGGTGTGTTTATAAATGGGTTTTGAGTGTGTGTAATGATGGGTTTTGGGTGTGTTTATAAAGTGTTTTGGGTGCTGAGTTTTTTTATAATTTCAGCCCCCATTTTGGGTGTTTTAGTGAAACCCCCTTAAAATAAATTAATGTTCAAAAGGCTTACGCCTCAACGTTTTAAGGCTTACGCATTGCATAGCGCTACTAAAAACGCCTCACCTATACGCCTCACCTTTGAAAACATTTATATATATATATACACCTTCTCTTTGGAGAAGAACATAAATCCTCGAAAAATTTGCCCCAATATTTTTTCTTTGTGTATTTGGGTAGTTGGATTGGAGAGATCCAAACCCAGGATTATGTGTGGACATAACATGTTCAGACAGAGACAGTGGTCACGTGTTCCAGTGACCACGTCAAACGCTATATGCATATTTCTGTCTTACAATAACATATTTTTCCTGCTTTTCTTGTGCATTGTAAGCAATACTACAGAGACAGCAGCTACGACAATAAAGCTACCGGGGAATGTAAGTGTTCCGGCAGTGATTATATTCGGAGATTCGATTGTTGATACGGGCAACAACAACAACAATTTCAAAACATTTGCACGCTGCAATTTCCTTCCATATGGGAAAGACCTCAAGGGAGGAATGCCAACAGGAAGATTTTCCAATGGAAAGGTTCCCTCGGACTTCATAGGTTCTCATCCTCCTCATTATTTCATCCAGCATTGCTAATTGGTATTATTGATTGCATTATGAGTATATTATTAGGAGTCAACTTGATTTGCAAACCCAACTCCAGCTTTGCTTACATGTAACTTCTCCTCCGAACCAAATGTTCATATATTTCACTTTTCCTCAGTCGAAGCGCAATTGACGTCAAAACAATTAACAGAGTACTTAATTCATGTGACGATATGTTGTGTTTTTTCATGTTCAGTGGAAGCACTTGGAATCAAAGAGCTGTTGCCAGCATATTTGGATCCAACCCTGCAGCCAGAGGATCTCCTTACTGGTGTAGTAATAGCTGCTGGTGGTGCAGGCTATGATCCTTTGACAGCACAACTCTCGGTACTTACACTTGTTTAACCCTTTCTTCTTTTCCCTCACACATTCTGAAAATTCCCACTCACTGGTGTCGCTGTTTGTTATTTTTGGTGAAATATATAGCGAGTTGCATCACTATCTGACCAACTGAAGCAGTTCCAAGAGTACGTAGAAAAGCTGAAAGGAATTGCTGGAGAAGAGAGAACAAACTTCATCATAGCAAACAGTTTGATTTTTGTGGTAGCGGGCAGCAACGATATTTCTAACACCTATTTTCTTAGCGGTGCTAGGAAATCGGAGTATGATGTTCCTTCTTACACTGACTTCATGCTCAACTATGCCTCTCAGTTCGTCAGGGTAAGCATTTGAACTCAACATTGGAGAAATAGCGCAATTGCAGATAGTTAAACTTAAAAGTTTGATGTAGCGAATGATTTGGTATCTAGGACTTATATGGCCTGGGGGCACGAAGAATAGGTGTACTCAATGTGCCACCTATCGGATGTGTGCCATCTCAACGAACAATTGGAGGAGGCGTGCTAAGAGAATGTGACGACAAACAAAACCAAGCATCGCAGCTCTTCAATTTCAAACTCTCTGCAGAGATGGATGGCCTTAACAAAAACCTGCCCAACTCAAGAGTGGTCTATATTGACATCTACAATCTACTACTTGATCTCATCATAAATCCTACAAAACACGGTGCATTAATCTGCCTAAGTTCTAACTAACGCAATTATATATCTTTCATTTTTCTTGTCATAATAAGCTAATAATAAAAAAAACATCCAACTAGAGTCATTTGACCGAAAAAAAGAAGAATAATATTTGTGCTCTGTTTCTTCTTCCCCTTGAAGAAAATAAGAATACAAATAAAGATGTTTTTATTGAATATCTGCAGGCTTTGAAGTTGGGAATAAAGGGTGCTGTGGTAGTGGGATTATTGAAGTAACAAAACTGTGCAACCAGTTTCAGCCTGCAGGCACCTGTTCAGATGACTCTAAGTATGTTTTTTGGGACAGCTACCATCCAACAGAAAGTGCATACAAGATCATTGTGCAGCAGATGCTAGACAAATATGCCAACCGCTTCTTCTGAGACAAGTCATTATTCTTATGATCAATTTCCTTGCAAGTTGCAAGCATGATTATTCTATTCCAATCAATCAATAAAACCCAGCAAGTTTAGATGCACCAATACGCCTTTTTTTAATATTTATATTATCTATATAAATTAGTCCAGTAGAGTCTTGATATGGGAAGACCTTAGACCACTGATACAATGGGTAGCATCAAAAGAAACTATTTATGTATTTTTTAAGAATCTGAGAAGCAACGATTCTGAGAGCTCTTTCTGTGGGATGAACTGCATCCCAATAGAGGTATTTAGATGCATCTGTACACGTGAACGGACTGAATTCGTTACACAATACCGCCACTCCTATTGTTCCAGTACCACAACATCCAAACTTCTCTACTTGGAATCCTGAAATTATAGATATAAACAAACAAACAAATGAAATTGTTAAGAAAACAAAAAAGCAGCAGCTAAAATCTAGTAAGTAAAAGACTAGCTTGACATCTGTAAAGTTGGTTCTGATGTAATCTAGTTCAGATGATAGCTCAGAATTGAACCATGCTGCTTCTTCCAATTCCAGCTCCAAACACTCTCTCGGTAAGCCTCCTCTATTTCTGTCAAATGGGGAGCATCCCACTGCTGCTGTACTGAAAACACCAATGCGCCTTGCCCCGAGGCTATATAAATCCTTCAAAGTCAAGTCACACTAATTTTAACAACAGAAAAGAAAGAAAATTTAAGTCACGCTATACTAGTGGTGATTATTTCATTTGATTAATTAATTTACCCTGAGGAAAGTAGAAGCCATGCTGACCAAAAGAGCAGCATATGAAGGAAAATCGTAGTGAAGCTTTCTAGCAATGAGAGAATAACTAATCAAACTGTCATTGTTGCCTGCTGAAACTAAAAATAGACTGTTAGCTATGATGGCTCTTGCTCTCTCTTCTCCAACAATCCCTGTCAGCTTCGCAATGTACTCTTTGAAGAGTTCTAATTGTTTGAATAGAGATAAAGTTCCCCAATTTTTCCACAAGAAAATCAGCAATATTCCAATTAGGAGAAGCAAACAATTAAGGCCCCCGAGTCGAATGTACATTTTAGCCGTAACATACCGTTATGGTTGGTGTTAGAGGATCATAACCAGAGCTACCTGACGCAAAGCATACACCGGTAGGGAGATCAGGGCTCTGCAGGTTTGGGTCAAGATATGATGGCAAAAGTTCTTTGCTTCCCAAGCCTTCGGCTAAAGAATTAAAAACAAACAAAACAAGTCATTAAAATGAAACTAGTTAGTTCAATTAATGATGTTCATCAATCATTGGTTACCAGAGCATTTGCATCTCAGTTTTCCTGTGATCAATATATGTACCTATCAAGTCTGAGAGCACTTTTCCATTGCCAAATCTTCCTGTTGGGATGCCTCCCACTAAATCTCTTCCATAGGGCGGGAAATTGCATTTAGCTACAGTGGCAAGATTATTGTTGTTGCCAGTATCAAGAATTGAATCTCCAAAGGCAAAAAGCCCTGGAAATTTTAACGTCCCATTTTCTGCAGCAGGTAGCTGCTCCTTGGCTGCTTCTATATATGTTGGGGTGCAAAACCACAGAGCACTTGAAGTACTAGTATAACTAAAATTTTCGAAAAAGTTGCAGAAAGCAGATTCACACATGAAAAGTACTTCTGCATATTATATTTACTTTTAAGGCTGACTGATATATGCTTGATTGCATTATTTTATTCATATAGACCTCCCTCGACCTCCTTTTTTATTTGAAAGTTGAAACAGAAACAGGTGATGATTTGGAGGTGCGTTTTAGAGAAGTCCATTGATATACATAGCTTTTTTCCTGCTAAAATCAACTAACATGATCAGAAAGCACACCAATTGCATGAGTGGTAACAGATCCGTGCAAGCAATGAATTGATCTCAAAGTCACACAACTGTCACATTGATGAATTTTCCTCCTTCATATCATATATTCCATTTATATTCAGACAGAGTCAGAAGAGCTCGAAAGTTAACTAAGTTCTGCAGAGCTGCAATGAACAATTTATTTTTCTTTATGTTTGTTTATGTGGATCTGATTCTTTCTACTGCCCAAGCTATTGTGAAGCTACCAAACAATGTAACAATTCCGGGTGTTTTTATGTTTGGGGACTCCATAGTTGATACGGGGAACAATAACAACCTTACCACTCTTGTTAAAAGCAATTTCCCTCCCTACGGGAGAGATTTTATGGGAGGGTTACCAACTGGAAGATTTGGCAATGGCAAGGTTCCCTCAGACCTTATTGGTAATTCATTCATAATCTATTCTGTTACTACTAATACTAGAATGCAAATCCTTTTCCACTTAGTTATGTCACCAAAGAATGTGCTTATTCTCCTTTTTTGTTTTCTTCAGTGGAGGACCTTGGAATCAAAGAATTATTGCCCGCGTATCTTGATCCATGTCTTCAAGCCGAGGACTTGCCTACTGGTGTAAACTTTGCTTCAGGCGGAGCAGGATTTGATCCTCTGACATCTAAGTTAATGGTAATTAATTACTGTTGAATTATTAGTATAATCTTAGTGATCTGAATCTTGAAGATTTGTGTTTATACTCATATATTTAAGAAAAAAACAGTTAGTTATACCGCTTTCGGAACAATTACAACTGCTGAAAGAATACATAGAGAAGCTGAAAAAGTTCGTTGGAGAAGAGAGAGCAAGCAGCATTATAAGCAACAGCCTATTCGTGGTGGCAGCAGGCAGTGATGACATTGTCAATACCTACTATCATACACCTGCACGCTTCTGGAAATATGATATTTATGCCTACACTGATCTTATGCTCACCGAGGCTTCAGCCTTTGTGCAGGTACTTAATTAATTCATCACTTCACTGTATATGTTTGTATGACAATTATAATTAAGTTGTTGCAGCTGCTTATTATAAACATTGATTAAAGTCGTAATCTTTAAATTAAACAAAGAAATTATATGCATTGGGGGCACGGAGGATAGGCGTGATCAGCGTACCACCAGTTGGATGCATACCGGCACAGAGAACTTTAGGAGGAGGTCCAGAAAGAAAGTGTGTAGAGAGATACAACGAAGCAGCAGAGTTGTTCAACAAGAAGCTATCGGCAGAGTTGGATTGCCTTAACAATCACCTATTCCATGCCACAGTGGCCGTCTTCATGGATGTGTACGGCCCTTTCCTAGATGTCATCCACAATCCACAAAAATATGGTAAGGGTTCATTCAAATATCCTTGTGATAATCGATCTCTTTAGAATAATATAATGCATGCATGCATGCAGGATTTGAAGTTATAAACAGAGGGTGCTGTGGTACAGGGATCATAGAGGTTGCTGCATTTTGTAACCAACGGTCTCCCAACACTTGTAAAAATGCAACAAGCTATGTTTTCTGGGACAGTTATCATCCCTCTGAGAGAGCATACAGGATTATTACCCATCAGGTACTCCACAAGTCCATTCAAGCCTTCTTCCACAGCCAATGATTGATTTGGAATGGATTACCTCGATCACATTGCTCAAGCGGGATCACCGATATTCTTTATTTACCATTATATATATTCAGTCAAATCAATATTATTTATTTATCTATGCAATTGATCATTTTCTTAAGTTTGTGGATGCATCCTATAATTCATACTTAATGGAGAAAAAAGGGATGAAAATCTGTGCAAGTATTCTTGAAGCATATATATATATATAATTGCGCACCCAAAGAGAGAAATCATGAGATGCATTCCAGCAACTCTTCATCGCACCTCTTGTAAATTGTAACGCCATAAAACAAAAAAGAATGACACTAAAACAAAAACGGATGTTGTTCACTCACTCTTGTAATGCCATCATATTTTGTGGTTGTATTAAAATAATAAAAAATTTCAATTTGGAGTGGAAGCAATTTTTCAACTTGGACCAAAGAAATTCAAAGAGAGCTAGGCCCAAGCCCTAGGTCCAGTACAAGCTGGGATCATCTGGGCTGGGCTGGACTTTTCAGCTCGTGTGTCATTTACCATCCCGCCCGATTGAACAATGAAACGACGTGCCGTTTAACAAATAGGAAAAACCAACAAGAAGAAAAGGAAACGAAAATAGAAGAATTCAGTGGACTAAAGTTTGCAGGCTTGCCGCTCTCGGGTTGAGTCTGGATTTTGAAATCCCAGCATCTGGAAAAGATTGAATTTCTATATATGAACCCTCTGGGTCTCTGACAATCAATCACTGCAGCAATCTTAGTCCAGAAGGGTCTTGATAGGGTTCTGAAATGGAACCCGTAGCCTTTGTAGTAGACAAGTTTAGAGGTTTGACGAAATCAACCCAAGAATTGTTTGACGGCCTCATTCATGGACGCCCTCAACGTTCAGCTCGCCGACATCCGGTATTTCCAAAATTGCTCCTTTCTTCTTTTCTTATTTATTATCTCTCATCCCACTTCCCAGTCCCCACTGTAGATATGTTTCATTGCCTTGCCGTAATTCGAATTGATTTTGCCCTATTTTTGCTTCAAAAGAAAGAAAAAAAAAAATTTATTAACCTAAGCTAAGCTGCTCGTAGTTGCATTGTAAAATGGAGTACCCATGAGTGAGAAATGGTGGGGTATTTATTCAGATTAGATAAATGGACTATAAAGCAATGAGCTATGTGATGACGCTTTACAAATTACAACACTTACACGATATGAAATTTTCAGATTGAAATATTGAAGCGGCTGCAACGAGAAGCATTTTCGGACTTAATGAAACTCAGGGATAGACAAGATAAGGTTGAGAGAATGGTTTCCTTGTATGGAACTTCCAAAGGAAGTCCATTCCAAGAAGCCAGCACTCTTGTAAGGGGAGAGGTTGATCTCTTGGGGGCTGTCTTGTTTATGCATAATATTGACGATGAGGTTGATCACAAATCTGATGTTCTTAGTCGAGCAGGAATGAGAACCGGGGTTGATTCAAGGTTTGCTTTTGAAACAATTGTTCGGCAGAATGACACGCTTGTGGCGGAGTTTGTAGCCAGTCAGAAGCACAAGGGTAGTCTTTCTGATCTTTCAGAATGCCCACTTTCTCTAGCAAAAGTTTCCTATACAGCAAATGTCAGCAACTGGTTATCTGCAATTGCAATCCCAGTGGGAGCTCAGTGCAGGGATGTTGCAGTTCTTACAAATCCTTCCCACCAGGTATCACATGCTCGCATTAATCTCAATGGTCGACTAATTTGTTTCCTTTATTTATTGGTACATACCAGTATTCATTCATTTTCCTTTTGTTTCTGATAAGACCTGTATGCATCGATGGAGTTGGACTAGTGTTCCGGATTTCATTTCATAAAATTAAGGTCATGACTCATGAGATGGATGTCAACGTAACAATTATTTGAGGATGTAAATAAGATGCTCTTTCTTTTCTCAGTGTGTGAACCCAATTGAATTTCAAATGTAGTTTTTTCTTGTGGGTGAATTTGACAGACCTTTTAGTTTAGTTCGATAATCAGCTAGGGTCGTCATATCATTTGGTTGGAGTTTTTCTTTTGTGGCAATCATGTTGTTTGTGAGTTTTTTAATTGTGTAACATCAACCATATCATTAGGCATGTTGTACATCCTATTGGTGTTATGTGTTCTTTCATTGTAATTTTACATGTGTTGGTGCATCTGTTCTCTCACTGTAAAATTTTCTGGCATTGACAAGCCTCCTGATGGATTTTAGCTAAGCAGATATATTTCCTCTTTCTCTGGCAGGGGAAGGGCCTTACTGATCTTTCATCATTTGGGCCACCGCTTCTAAATCAGCATAATGGCAGTGCAGTTGGCTTAATGGTGAAAAAATCAAATATTGTTGCTTCATTGGCTCAGTTTGTCTCCGGACTGGGAGCTCAAGTGGGTTCTGGTAGAGTTGAGCTTTGCTTGAGCACTTTTGGGCAAATTGTCTGTCAACTTCCTGGAGGAACAAAGCTCTCGCTTCTGGGTCTTCACCAAATGCCTAGATTATCAAGTGAGTATGTGGATCATAGAGTTGGAGCTCTTACCATTCCCTTAGGCAGTTCGACACATGATAGATCCCATGAGACAATCGTTGAAGGCAGTTTGACACATCATAGATCCCCGGAGGCAATGGTTGAAGCATACGTGCCACCACTGGGATCAAACTCACCGGAAAAGGGTTCAAGTGGATCCATGGCTCTGATGTTGGAATCAGAAGTTGATGAGATGACAAAGATTGGGGGTTGGATTGAGATGAAGCAGTCAAACCCCAGGCATTTAGAATGGGCTGTGAGTGTGTCTGATGATTCTGAAGATTCAGTTGGATGGGGAATGAATTTGAGTGGGATACTTGGAGGTCCTAATTTATGGGACCGTGTTCAGATTGAATCCTACATGAAATTAAACTTGGGCAAGAGATTCAGTGTGAAGCCAGGTATTGCACATATTGTCGATGGGAATGCCAGAATGACTGCGCTTATGCTACGGTCTAACTGGTCCCTCTGATGGCCAAAAAGATGATGGTTTATTTAGGCCCGCACTTGACAACACTCAATCCGTTCCCATTGATATATTAGTTGGCTTCCAAGTTTCAGATGCTTTGAAGATGTCTAGCCACAATATAACGTGCTGATCCTATGTTGTATTTTTGTTTTTCTTTTCTTTCTTTTTTCCAGACACTGCCCTGATTCTATGTTGTTAGCCTTGCTTTTAGTTCTCATAGTTATTATTCATTTTTCTGGATCAGATACAAATCTTTACCATTTTTTATTTCTTATGAAAGCCCTCAAAATGAGAGAAATGTGATTTTTATTTATTTATTGGTATTGCTTAAACAATATTTCGTTGATTAATTTCATGGGACCTAGATTTTTTTTCCTTATAAATGAAACTTTTTTTTTTTTTTTTTCTGACTTCGAACTTAAGATTTCAATTTAACACTATTAAAAAAAATAAGTACTATTATGACCCTATCAATTAACTTGAAAAGAAAAACAAAAGGCAACAAATTATGGTTCGTCGACCAAAACAAATTATGACATTAATGATTGATGATAATATATATATCTTTTGAATTTGTCGTAAATAATTGGAGGGGAGTAAAACTGAACCTGAGATGAGTGACGTAAAATCCCCATTTTCCTTTGTCTTTTTATATATTTTTATCCAAATAAAAATAGTCTTTGTAAAAGAAAAAAGCTACTCCTCGGACTTGTTAAATTAACCTCCCCTGTCTATCAAATCCCAAAATCATCTCTCTTTTGGGTTTCTAGGGTTAAGGCACCGATCTGAACGATGTCGTCAGAGAGGAAGATAACACTGAAAAGCTCGGACGGCGAGACGTTCGAGGTGGACGAGGCGGTGGCCTTGGAGTCTCAGACGATAAAGCACATGGTCGAGGACGATTGTGCGGACAATGGGATCCCACTTCCCAACGTCACCAGCAAGATCTTGGCAAAGGTCATCGAGTACTGCAAGAAGCACGTCGACGCTGCTAAGCCCGACGACCGCCCTTCCAACGATGAGGACCTCAAGGCCTGGGACACCGACTTTGTCAAGATCGACCAGGCCACCCTCTTCGATCTTATACTGGTCCGTTTCTTTTATCCCCTTTTCTATATTCACTCTCTTCTCGTTTTTTATTATGCTGTGAACAATTCGATTAATTCTTTCCTTAATTGCGTTAGGGTTTCTGATTATCTCATAGAAATGAGTTTTCTTTCTGATTTGACGTTTGTCGAGTTTGGGCTTTATATCTCCCACAACCCACTGTTTTATTGCACTTCTTATAGTTTTTAGGACATTAGATTCATGAATTAGTTTGTCTAATTTTGGGAAAGTATAACATCTGTTGTCTTCTCCATTATGATTCATGTTCATATCTTTACTAGTCACTTGATGACCACTGGATCACAAACTTTGTTTATATGTTGAAAGGTTTGATTATATATATAACTGAAAATTTGATAAGCAGAGCCACACATAGCTTGTTTGCGCATGCCTGTATTTGTGATCTATTTCTTTATCTCTTGGGTAGTACAACTAATAGGGAGAAAAAATACTTTTGAGTTCTGTTGTTTATAGGCTGCAAACTATTTGAACATAAAGAGCTTGCTGGACCTGACTTGCCAAACAGTGGCGGATATGATCAAGGGCAAAACACCTGAGGAGATTCGCAAGACGTTCAACATTAAGAACGACTTTACGCCCGAGGAAGAGGAGGAGGTCCGCAGGGAGAACCAATGGGCCTTCGAGTGAAGACCTAGAGATGAAGAAACCTGTTTTTGTGGTTTGTTGCTCATTTTGAGCTAGTGGCTGTGGAATGCTGTTTCTATCTATTATCTGAAAATTTTCTTTACTTAGTGAAGTCCTTTTGTTTGGATATTTGTTCTTCTGCAGATGACAATCATTTTCTTCCACCTTACCCCCTGCTCTTCTAGATCTCCAAACTGTGATGTTTTCTGGTTCGCTTTTGTTATATGTTAATATGGTAAAAATGTGCTTCTTATTATGTGGTCATTCTTGTTCATTTTCAGTTGATTGATCCCTGCCTTTAGGCATAAAGAATTTCCAATAAGCTCTGAATTATTAGATCTCACCTCTAGATTATTGCATCTTTAAGTTAGGTGTAGAGATTGTAATCTTTTCCAATACGACTGGAGAAACTGCCATCTGCAAGGCCTGATTGTGATGAAATCTTATTGGGTAGGTTATGGTGATTAGGGAAGATAAATTATTGAAATATTGATCATCTTCCGTTATAATTTATTGAAATAGCTCTGATCAGTTTTCAAATGCTTACAACAAATGGACTTCGGACTTTATTCTTTCCATTGGTCCATGTAAGAGACCCAAACATATCTCCCTTGGGAGAGGACGTGGTTGAAGAGAAAACCACTTGGTAACTCAGCTTCTGGTTGTTCTTCGAAAATTCTAGTTTATCAGGAATCACTGTGACACTTAGACCGGTAGGTGCATCCACAGTAGCGGTAAAAACTGTTTCACCATCTCCTGCAACATTTGTGACCCTCCTGCTTACATTCTTGGTCTTTGTTCCGTTGAAATTGGAAATTGCTATTGATGGGTAGTTGATGTTGGATATGTAATCCGCATTGGAGTCCTTGGGGCAGGCAAATTCTTTGGGAGCAGTTCTTGCGATGGTTTTAATTTGGGATATGCTGTAGCCATAATAGCAGAGGAAGTTCAAGTAGTCGATGGTGTCAGTTTCATAAACCAGCCCTGGTTGTAAGGGTCCAGTTGTCCTTACTTCCCCTGCACCGTAATCGTAAGGGGTGGCTGTAGAATTAGAATCTGTAGTAATTGGGGCTCCCAAGTTGTCTGTTTGAGTTGCTGCACATTGATTCAGTCTCTAGAAATGAGTGTTGGGTTGATAAAGAAAAGTGCCTTTAAACTTGTTGATTAACATTTATGTTATGAAATATTCTCGACCTGTTGTGATGAGTGCTGATCTGATCGCAGAAGGACTCCATGTTGGGTTTTGTGATTTGACGGTGGCAGCTATCCCAGAAACATGGGGGCATGCCATGGAAGTCCCTGAGATGACATTGAATAGTGGGGACTCCTTTCCTTCAAGAGTAATACCCGTATCATTGGCCATCCATGCTGCAAGAATGTTCACACCAGGTGCTGCAATATCAGGCTGCAAACAAGTATATTAGAAATATTGCTTTAAACTTTGTTTGTGATATCATATTTTGGAAAATTGGAAATCAGAAGCCCGCTTGCTTGCCTTGAGAATGTTCCTTGTGCCATGCGAAGGTCCTCTGGATGAAAAATATGCCACAATGGGCGCTGGTTTATACTTTGTCACCGTCGCTGTTGCTAAGATGGTTGCAACTGGGTTTCTTCACAAGTAATTGATTAATTAATTTCAACTCTCAGCTACCGATGGCCTTTGTTTCAAAACACACACTATAAATTCTGAGGTTTTATAGTTACCTGGTTGAGTTGATGTAGGAGAGGATGTCCAGACCATCCTTTATGCTGACGACCGTTGCCGGAAGTGCTGTAGAAATATATACTACTACTCCCGGATTCTTCTCTTGAAAAATGATACCAACTCCGCCCAGACTCTTCACTGCGTCAATCTGTTCATTCCTCGAATAATTATCATCATTGGTGTCACACATAACAATCTTCCCCTTGATCTTTTCTGCCACCATTGAGTTTGCGTCGCAGTTTCTGAAATTGTATATCAGCAGTGTGATCTGAGAATCAGAGATGCATAATTACAAGATATCATATGGATGGGAGTTGGAAATCGTAATACGTACCTTGCGTCACCTTTGCCGGCAGACCCAGCATATATCAACGGGTGCACGGGAGATTTTTGGAGTTGGGAAAAATTTATGCCTCTTCCCTGAGATTTCACAATTTCTTTTAAAGATCTTGCTCATCAATCACTAAAGAGATAGAAAATGATTTGCATCATAGACACAATATAATACACTTTAACATGGTGGGTCAGTAATTAGCTATGTAATCAGGCAGTCACCTCACCTTGATCGCTTTGTTTCCACCTAACACCACATCAGATTCAAAATCGCGGTCAATGGTTGTGGCAGCAACGGTCACAATCCAAGGCGCAGCGTTGACAACCGTTTCACGGGAGGGGCCATCGTTCCCCGCGGAGCAGACCACTGTAATCCCCTGCTCCACTGCATGGAACGCTCCGATCGCAATGGGGTCGCTGCTCAACTCCGGCTCATACTCAATGGGTGAACCAAGCGACAGCGAAAGAACGTCCACCCCGTCGGCGATAGCGTCGTCAAAGGCCGCTAAAATGGCCGAGCCAAGACAACCTTCCGATGAGCATACCTTATAGACGGCGATCCTTGAAGTTGGGGAGCCTCCCTTGGCTGTCCCAGCAGCTACACCGTAGTAGGATGCACCCTGTACAATGCTCCCTGCCGCTGTGGCTGCCACGTGGCTGCCGTGCCCCTGCGAATCCCTTGGTGAACCGTCCTCTGTTTCTGTATCATCAGATTCAGAGGTGTCGTAGTACCTTGCTCCTATCAACTTCCTGATCATCATATCATACATACATACAGCTTAAAATATATTTTAATCACAACTCATTCCTAAACATGAAATTACTATGTACACATTTTTACCTATTACAGTTGGAGGAACTGAAATCATCGCTTTTCATGCACGTTCCCTTCCACCGTGACGGAATCGGACCCATATCTTTGTCATTGAAACTCTCTGACTCCGGCCAAATACCTATTTGTTTAATTTGATACACGTCACGTAGGCTATTAATCAATTAGAGTTATGAATCTTAATTAATTATCAACTGACTATAATTACCTGTGTCCAAAATACCAATGATGGTGTCAGATCCATTAGCACTAACAGATGAAATTCCGTTGGCGGCACCGAAGATGGAGTTGGGATTTGAGTCAATTTCTAAAGCAGTTTGATACTTGAGAAACTCCCAAGATTGAGTGGTGTGGAGTTTCAATAAGGGATCAGGAAAAACAGACACAACTCCAGGTTTATGAGCAATGGAGCGGGCCTCCTCTTCGGAGAGACGAGCCGCGAACCCTGAGAAACCATGCCTGTAAGTGTGCACCACTGCATTTGCTTTACTGCATGCACCCACAAAATAATTAATATTCAACTTTGATCAACTTCAGTTTGTTGTTACTTATTAATACATATATATATATATACAAATAAATATAAGAAACCAAAAGTGATTAAGTTCCGACTTACTAGACAAACTAATTAATAAGCGGACAAATTAATAAGAGAGACGAAAAGGTTGGTGTTCTTGGTTTTCTTTTATTTCATTTGATGTTACAGTGTTGTACATGAACAAATTATACATAGTTTTATACGGTAGAGGTACCGACCGTCTTAAGACAGATTTGAGAAGATGAGCATGGTCATTCCTTAAGGAATTTTTACTTCTTGGTGAGGAGGATGCTGCAGATCCCATGTACACAATATAAACGCGGTTCTCATCAGCTTTAGTTTGTGCGTGAAATGAGATGAAGGTTAGGAGGAAAAGAAAAGGGAATGACAAGAAAACAGAGATGTTTTTTATGCCCATTTTGAGCTCTCTTACACTCACTACACACCACTCTGCCTTCCTCAGCTCTGCTCTGCTCTGCTCTGAGGTTGTTGGATCAGTACAACATGGAGTGTGTCTTATATATACACAGATAATTAATTTCATTTAATTTAATTTAAGATGATATTAACAGGATTACGTACTTAACTTAGGCGGTGAAGAGTTTAGTTGGGCTATATACGATACGATACGATACGTGAATGGTGGGTGGGTGTGGGGTGTGACAGCACGCGCACTGCATTGCCCCATTATCCTTCAAGGGTCAAAGCCCATCTTCGAGCATATGATGTATATATACAAAATATCATATCTCCAGCCCAGTTATACCTAGTATACCCACCCCATGAATGATCCATAATGAATTAGTGCGCTTACTTATTGCTTATCTTGGCACATATAAATATAATTGGTGGTGGTGGTGGTTGCCGGTACAGTGGTGGTGAATGGTGATCTTAAGTGGTGGTATATATTATTAACTAACTATATTAATTAATTAACAATAGGTGTTGATTAATCTTAATTGAATAATTTAGAGGACATGCCAATGCCATTGGACAGTTGTGAGAGCATGAATTTTGGTAACGGATATATACCAAACCAAACCAAACCAAACCAACTGAAGGGAAGGACGCCATCTCCCATGGCCATGCCCTTTGAATGCTTACCTAGTGGCTAGTAGTGGTAGGAATCTTTATCTCTGCTTTTCCTACAACTACTGTAAGTAATTGTATCATCATCCCTAAGATCAAGATAAATAAATAAATCATAGCTCACACAGACTCAGAATCACTTTTAGCTTTAGCTTTGTGGGTCTAAAATGGAAAAGTGCGTGTTGAACGGAATTGAGTAACTATGGACCAACCAAAAGCAACAACTAAATCGATGCAGTGTTTGTCCATGTGTGTGTGTGCCTTTGAGAGCCTTAATCAAAATTTGTTAATTATTCCACGTGGAAATAAATGAATGTTGTCTGTTTCTTGAATTTGTGATTACTTTGGCTTTGAAGACAAGCAAGATTGGGAAGGTGCTTTTTGTTGGGTTGGGGGTGATCCTCCAAATTCAAAGATAACACGGAACGGAATTGCCTTGCCACTCTTGCTAATGCAAATGCCCCCTTTCTTGAAGAGAAGCATGCATGTGTTAGTGGTTAGTGCAGTGATCAATGAAGAAGCCAGCCAACCATACAATTCCTTCCTAGATGAAAGGAATCCCTCAACCGCAAAAGCTGTCAATAGTGCGCCACTAGGCTCACTTCACTACCATCAAATCAAATCAATCAATCATTTCCCCATTCTCTTTTCTCCTGCTACTTTCTTTTGCCTTTTTTCTTTTTTTCTTTTTTTCTTTTTTTCTTTTTTTCGGTTACAACTTACAAGGAGGGCCGAAGCCCAAGAAAAAACCAGAAAGAAAACAGATGATGTACTCTCTCTCTCTTTAAAATTTAAACCTCATGAGAGCCGTTAATATTTATTCAGCTCCAAAACGCCATGCTACGGTTAAGGTTACGAGGCCCAACTCCAAGTCCAATAATTTTGTTAGGCCTTTTAGTATCCCAGGCCCATATTGGGCCTTGCTATTTTAATCCCAAAAATGGAACTTGTTTTGTTTAGGGCTGGCAGTGAGTTCGTGTCATGTCAGGATTATATACGTGTCCAGAATGCTCAACTCAAATTCAACCCGTTTAATAAACGTGTCTTGTACGGGTTGACCTGCTAATTTTTCGTGTGGATTTTGAGTCTTGTCGAGTTGACCCGCTAATTTTCCGTGTGAATTTTGAGTCTTGTCGAGTTGACCTGCTAATTTTTTGTGTGGATTTTGAGTCTTGTCGAGTTGACCCGCTAATTTTCCGTGTGAATTTTGAGTCTTGTCGAGTTGACCCGCTAATTTTTCGTGTGAATTTTGGTCGTGTCGGGTTGACCCACTAAGGGGTAGCAAATAAAAAATCTTGAAATTTGAAAATTTAATTAAGTAATTGCATTTTTTATTTTTATATAAAATAGTGATTACATTTTGCCTCTATCTATATACAAAGATTGAGGAAGAGAAATTAAAAAAATAATTTAAGAAAATGAAGAACAAACAAAGAAATGGGTTGGCAGGTTACCTAGGTATTTTAGCGAGTTGACGGGTTGACCCAAAATCCATATGTTTATTAAGGGGTCAGTGGCGAGTTGACCCAAAAATAACTTGAAAATTTAATCGTGCGAGTTGACCCACTAATTTTCTATGTGGTGGGTTTTGAGTCGTGTTGGAAATTGCCACCTTTAATTTTGTTGATCATTGTTCATGGTTTTTCATTGCACATTCTATACATGATAGCGATAACAAGATTGCCCAAAAAAGAAAGAAAAAAAGTGTTTTTCTTATAAGAAAAATATAGAGGGGACCATAAAGCGGTTAATGTTTGATGGAGCAGCCAAAAGGTAAAATCAAAACATAAGAAGAGGAACTTTGGCCTAAAAAAAACACATAGGAAGAGGAACAAAGAAAACAAGCGTGCAGATGCAAGTGGCATTAATTCAAACATTTCATCTCAGTGCGGCTCTTGTTATGCAAGTGGCATTAATTTAAATATATATATATATATCAGTTATTCTCTTATCCGGATGTCCGCATGTTATTATCGTGCGGATCCTATTGCAAACAGGCAGGAAAACAAAGAGGGGTAGTACAAAATACACTGCGTCCGCACGATAATAACGTCCGGATGTCCGCATAAGAGAATTTCTGTATATAT